GTGAGGTGTCAAGAGATAAGCAGGTAAATTAAGTGGATAAACCAGGCTCTGGCTTGTCCTTGCCTAGACAGTCCCCCAACCCTACTGCCAAGCCCCTGTGTAAGGATGCAAGCACTATTATATATAAATTCATTTTTTAAATTGGGTGCAACTCAGTTCACAAAAGTTATATGGGGGGGAATGGATATTCAGAGCCAAAAAGATTGAGAACCACTGTTATAGGGCAAGGATGTGCTTAGTAAGTAATACTCAAGTCTTAGCCATATGCTGAAACATACTTAAATTAGTTTTCTTGATCAGTTAAAATGAGTGTTTTAGACTTTCCTCCTGCACGTGTGCTTGTGTACATGCGAAGTATTTCATCATTTTTAGTTCTGTGTTATAGAAGTCTCAACTGAGATTTTATCAGGACCGCTCCCTGATGGAATGTGATCATTTGCTGGATGGATTATTTTTTTTTCCACGTGACTATTTCAGTAGTATAGCTTTGTATTTTGAAGCAGAAGCCCTTGTTGCTGCTTGATAACCTTGTTTTCTAATGGAAAAGCTATTTCAATGAAAATCAGTGAGGCAAACTAATATGGAGGCCTGCAAGTATTCATGAATACCTTTTTGCATTCTATTTTTTCACTCTACCTTAATTCACTTTAACTTTGAAGTGTAGGCAGGGCCTGATGATACTTTCTAATGAACAGGTCAGCTCTTTCAGTTATATGTTGCATAACTAAATCAACAAGATGGCAGCATTCTTTATTTTTCATAACTTTTTAAAAATCCGTTTTCTAGTGATTTATTTGTCTGTGATTAGAAGTGGTGATTGGAATCTCTTATGAATGGGGAAGTATTTGATTCAGATTCAGCTGATTCAGAGGACAGTGATTCAGTTCAGAGATTCGGGATCGCTGTCCTGAACCGATTTTTGGCTTCAGAACATTCAGTGCTGATTTGGAGAGATTCAGTGATTCAGATTGGCCAGGGAGAGGCAGGCACAGCCTGGTGGGGGGAGCTGTGGGAGAAGCCCCCCATGGCTCCCCCAGCCTAGTCCCAGCACTTAAAAAAAGCCCTGCAGGAACGGCGATTGGGGCCTCTGAGTGCTCATGGCAGAGCCCCCCACACAGTGCTGGGCAGTGGGAAGCAGCAGGGATTTCTCTTCCCTGCTCCAAGCAAGTGCGCAGCAGCTGCCTCATGGTGCAGGTGCAGCGCAGTGCGGTGTGGCTCCATGGGGAGCTGGGGCTGAGCGGTGCCATGCTCCGGGTCACTGCTGGAGCCTCCCCAGCTCCCAGACAGCACGTGATGCCCTGCCAAGCCACGCTGCACTCACGCTATGGGGAAGCTGCCGCGTGGATCTAAGGCCGAATCTCCAAATTGGCTGAATCTTTTCTGAAGCTTTTCCAAATCAATTCAAATGCTTCAAAAAGGGAGCAGGAGAGCGCACAAGCCTCCATGGCTCAC